GGATCGAGCCTGCCCATAACGTCACGGCCACCACAGGTCTCTCCTGCCTAGTGCTCAAAGATTTGAGATGTGCCAGAAAGTCAGAAAGAGGGGCTTGGTGTCTTCCGCCAACGCTTCCGCTGCAAGCCTTGAATCCAGACTGCACATCAATGCGACTTCACCCTGCTTGGTTTCGGGCTCCAATGGAGTCTGTCAAAATCGGGTCCCATTTGGGAAGTGTAGGCATTTTAATAGCAGTCTAAGCAGGGTGACATTTGGAGACTTCCAGTCCGTTCCGGCCAGATGGGCTTGAATTCCTTCGTGCTAGGTTCTCATTAATTTGTTATTTTCCAGAACTAGGGGTCCCCATTGTGCACCTACAAATATTATAATCTTTACTATGGCAGCTTATTACACAGAAGCACCAAATAAGGTATTACCTTATTGTAAGCATTTGCAAATAGGTTACCCAAGCTGTGAGATTCCCACAAAGCAAACCAGCAGCGCAAAGACCGCCAGCAACGCAGGTCAACGGGGGGCTTAGGGTTTGTGGGGAATGAAGCTCATGGCTCCAATCTCTTGTCAGCAAGTACATTAGAGTCTTAAACCCTAAAGCTATGAGCCCGGGCTGCCACGTTACTCATGCTTACCGGGAACGGTGCAAATGGATTTGTACAGTGGTCCTTAAAACCCATTCCTTCTTTCCCGACAACACAAGTCTCCCATTTGATGCTCCATTGTGGTGCTGGTCAGGTAGAGTTTCGTACGCTCCCGAAGATGAGGCCAGCCACGCAGGATTTCCTTCCTTGTGGTCAGTAGGGCATGGGGGGAACGAAGTTCCAAGAGCCATGCAATAGAGGAGTATGTAGGCATCCTTATTGACATCCATTTCCTCATTCCCAAAAAAAATCTCGAAGAATTCTCAACAACGACTTGGGATGCGAAATGTGGGAGCTTGTATCAGCACTGACCTTTGTAAGGCTGATCCTGTTTTCCTGGCACATAAAGAGTGCCCACGTGAACCCTTTCTATGGAAGTCTTCACGCGCAGAGCTCCAACATGTCAATGGAGCACGCGCGCCTGCGGACCAAGATGTGCACACATTCATCGGCTACCTTGTTCCTAGAGGTGTTAACTCACGGGGTAATTAAGACCCAATCATCGCGCGATCGAGTGAATTGTCTTCTGCTAAACATTTGCATACGTGTAGGGCGAAACAGCAAGGCCAAAGTGAGGCGAGGGACCCGCCATTTGCCGAGGTGAGGCTTGGGGTCATTGAGCCTTGGAGCCTGTCTAAGTCCAGCAATTAGCAACTAGACTCTGGAGTCTGGAGTGTGAGCTCAGAAGTTTCCTGAGCCTGTGTCTCGAGCTGCGCGGCAGGGTCTCCCTGAGCCCAGAGGGGGATTGGATGTCTGCGGACAACCGCCGCCTCTTCAGTATGAAGGCCACTGACATGGGGTTTGAAATTCTGTGGCCCGTCTGGATTCTCAGGAGATTTAGGGGTTGTACCGAGAGTATGAGGCGTCTCCCTAACAGTGACACGGGGATGTTAAGAAACTACGAAGCAAGAAGCTGCTGTGCCCAAACTCCGTAGATGCAACACGTCACAGTTCATGTGTCCAAGCATGAGCTCCAATGTGCTCCTTGCACCATACCAGTTAAGATGCTTCGCTTATCAAGGCCGTGCAGGGAGGTGGTTGGAGAGCAGGTAACTTGGTAAAGCACAATACATCCCTTAATATGTAAGGAAACCCTGAACTCTGTAAAGGTGGTCGGCCCGCTCATTGGGGAAACCTCTGTCCACGTGGACGTCATAAACTGGACACCTGCAACCCCGCCGCATTACAGGCAGATACGGCGTGGCTAGCTCGGTTTAGGCTGCTCGCTGTGACCAACCAGAATCCCAAATGCAAAAGAACCCCATAAAACTCCAATTGCTTGCTGCGCACTACGGCTGCGATTGTGGCTGCAACCTGAGGAAGTTACAATGCGGTCGCATCAGCCATACAGACCGCTGATATCCGCAAATACAGTGTACACAGCTATAGTATAAACTCCTAGTGCCCCGCTTCTAAACCCTATATAACCCCATGTCAGGAGTTTAGAGTTTAGACTACAGCTCATTTGGTAGTTTCCCTAAATAGGGGGACCCCAATATAGACCCCAATATACTACAGTCCTTACTATTTGGACCCCCAAAATGGTACCCCTAATTTTGGTAAACCCCCATTTGGGGTTGAGGTTTGCATTGGGACATCCCAAGCTTGAGCCAAGGAGATGCGCAACAAGCTCCAGCAGCATGCGAGGCCAGCCTGGTTTAAGGCTGAAAGGGGGGTCAGGGTCTTGGGATTAGGGTTTAGGGTTTAGGGATTAGGGATTGGGATTTAGGGAGTAGGGATTAGGGTTTAGGGTACATTTCTAAGGTTAGAAGCATTGGGCCCCTAACATGGGCCCTTGGGCCTTGTGGGGTGGTTCTAGGGACGCTAACGGACACATATACAGGGTATTTAGTAGGCTTATCAGAATCCCAGGGTAGTCTAAGACTTATGGCAGCCACGCTTGCTACCAGAAGTTTGTGTAGGCTTCTCAGCACTTCGTTTTGATACTTCAGGCAGGATGTCGCACAGGTTTCATTCAGAGCTTGGGGTTGGGAAGCACGTCCATGTTCAAGACTTCATGATGCAGGGGCCTAAACATTATTCGTACAATTAGTGTGTAGGATACCTCCAGCAGGCTGCAGTGTGATATTGGTAGCCATTTAGGCCCCTGCATGCAACCAGTTTGCGAGCCCAGCTTCCATTTCATAACAAGTTCTTGAACCCTACGCGTTAAACCCTAAACCCTACATTACGTATGCATCTCTTCAGCAAACATCCCTGAGCCCCTTTCCATACCTTTGAAAGGAGGGTTGTGGTGGCAGTAGCCCCTTGACCGGATGGTCTTTGCTGAAAGGGGCTGTTTTACACAGAGATTATGGAGTGCTCATGTAGGGGTCATGTATGGTTCAGGAATATGAATATTTGGGAAAGAGTCCATTGAAAAGTCGTTGTATATATATATATATACTGGCTTGATAAGGGTTTCCAAAGATTAGCGGGCCTTTTCTGGGAGTCCTAAGGACTGCAGTATATTGAGTCTATATTGGGCCCCTGTTTATAGAAGTAGTATCCTCGTGGCAGTTCAGGCCAGCATCATGCAAAGAACGTGGATGTTTGTGAGATTCGGCAAGTCTAAACACACAGAAGGCTTGGAGCGCTGCAGGCCACCAATGTCCCTGGATTCCAGGTATGGAGACGTTTGGCGAACAGACGCATGCACCATCAGACAGGTCCGCGAGCAACTGCAGGACAAGAAAAGCCCCAGGCTGTGAGGTTATGATCTGATGTTTCCTGTTGTCCGGGATGTCAGGGTTTATTCCTGAGGTCCCTTTGACGGAAACCTTGGCAAATCCAGGGAGGAAGAGGCGGTTCGTATGGTAAAGGCTGCATAGGGGTTGCATTGCGGGATTGTTTTCCAGAGGCATTCCCTCAGGGAAACAACCCTGCAACATATAATATCGATACTGTGCTAGGTGTAGCTATGTGGAGGCTGCGCAGGGCGTGTCTCAACATCCTGCCCTTCAAATGCGTTTCGGTTTGAAGTGGTGATCATACCAAGTAGGGCACAGGAAGCTTAGACGTCTCGCGGCTTCTCCTTGGAAAGTCTAGTGCCAATCTCCCGTCTGCATGGGGAGGAGGAGCTACTAAACGGTCCAGCAGTTCCGCAAAGCACCCCGCTGGACCCAGTGCTCATGCAGGCAGCAGAGGCCATGGGCACGGGATGTTTGAGACTGTCATAGCGAACCATTCCCTCATTGTATCGAGCACGAGGTAGAGTGGGGATAGTGGCGCTTCTTGGATTTTCCGTGAGTGCTTAAGTATTATGTGTAGTAAGAGGGTTTGGGTTAGTTGGTTCCGCCGAAATGATGATCACATTGCGGCTTGCAGAGGCTCCTCCTTTTCGGGGCTTGGTTGCCAAGGTCATACTGGGCAGAGTTGGCCGGCCCACACATTCACCAGGTACTGGTAAATTACTTGGGTTCTGGCCTGCGGGCCTTGGATTTCGATCTGACACAAGCATTGGAAATTGTCGATTACTAACTGGTGGATAGTAGGGACTGAAGGGAATATGGTCTCTATGTGTTTTCCCTAAAAATTCCCTCCCCTAATATTACACCGCCCGCCCCCCTCAATATATCATGATATGCCACCCTGGGAGGATTTAATATTAGGGGGGTGGGGGCTTGGGGGTTTTAACCCCCAGCAAGCTGTGGGTTCAGCTACCTTCAGAAGGCCTGACGTCTTCGTATCAAGGCTTTGGTTCTCCTCTTGTTTCCCAGAAGAAGACAGCCTCAAGTATTCGGATTAAGGTTTCGGGTTTGGGGCTTAGGGTGTATGTTTTGGGTTTTAGGGTTTAGGTTTTAGTGCGACCTAAGGGGGAACCGTTGTTTCGAGAGCCTACCATGCGAGGGTCTGGTTGCTCTCGGACGGCCCTAATACTCGAGCATTGGGTTTGCGATGATCAGCTTGACAGAGCCAACGACTTGCATAGGCCCTCAGTTTTTTCTGGGGCAGTTGAGAATGAAGGAGTGGCAAAGAAAATGTGAAATGCTGCATTGTTGGTACGCCGTGGGCCTTTCTCCTTCTCTCCCATCTCTCTCTACATATACATTATAGATAAGAGGATGCTCTCCGCCACTCCCTAGCAGGCACCACTAAGCTACTTTGTTGCGAATGGAAGTTTCGGCTTGCATTACATAGCTACCCATGGCAGAGGATGAGGCACTTGCACGGGGCAGATTAGCTGTTTGTAGGCGTTCAGCTTAAGTGGTTCAGCTACGGCTCCGGAAGTTTCATGGTTCACCACGTTTTTGTAGGTAGGTGTTGTGAATCACGCCAGCATTCATTCTTACACCCCCCAGCCCGCCCCACCCGTGTCGGCCCACAAGAGGTCAAGCACAGAGACGTACTTAGCCCCTTGACATGGAATTATGGAAGATGTCTCGCCTAGCCACGCTAGCCCTAGCGGCCCTAGCGTCAGTTGCACTTGCGATGCTGATTCTTTGGGGCACGGCCTCCAAGATTACTGGAGTTTCCCGCAGCTCGCGATTGCTGTTTGCCTTGTTTGAAGGGCCAAGTCCCCCAAGGGCCACAAGGCCAAACATCATCTGGATTATCACAGACGATCAGGATCAAGTACTCGGTGGCTCCTTCCCCCCTACAAGCCCAGGAGGTGCGACACCCATGCCTAAGACCAAGCAGCTGATGAGCGATGCTGGCGTCCATGCACTCAATTGGCATATACACGTGCCCATTTGCAGCCCATCCCGCTCGACGCTCCTGACGGGTAGATATTTCCACAACATCAAGCAAGTTGGCGGGCCGCTTGGCGGCATGCATGTGAACTACAGCAAGGTCAACAACCACACCTTCGTGCGACATCTCCAAGAAGCAGGGTACTTAACAGGCATGTTTGGCAAGTACCTCAATGTCATGCCGAACGCTGTACCGGCCGGCTTCAACGAATGGTTTGCTAACAGCGGGGGCACCTACATTGCCCCGGAGTTTATGGTCAAAGGCATCGAGGGCTTCCCGGAAGGATGGGTCAAATTCACCAACTCGCCCTCCAATTACAGCACCTCGGTGATCGGCAACATGTCGCTGGCCTTCATTGAGAGAGCAATCAAGGTTCAGAAGCCCTTCTTCGCCTACATTGCTCCAAAGGCTGCCCACGAGCCCTTCAACCCGGCCCCGTGGTACCGCGATAGCTGGGTGCTTCGGCCCTTCAGCAGTGTAGCATTTTTGGTGGCTAGCAGTAGGATTCATGAGGATCATAAGTCGTATGGGCAACTTTTCTCAAGATCTTACCTTGGTGGCGATGATCTCCTTCCCTCCAAACCTTAACCCTTAAGCTTGAATCCCCAAACCTCAAACTCTAAACCCTAAACCCTCCATTCAGCTTAACCCTAAACCCTACAGCCTTCATTCAGCTTAGGATCCCTCCTGGCCGCGGTCGGAGCCAAGGGACGAGACTTTCCTATTCAACGTGGGGTTGTCCGTTCAGGGATTAGAGTCCTGCCACGGTTTAGGGTTCAGGGTTTAGGTTGGTTGAAATTTCCATGGCTTCAATGTCTGCAAAAAGTTTTTATCAGGAGATTATGATCACTCTTTTCACTCCTCGGAGGGCCGGTTACTGTCAGGGGGAGTTACTTTAGGACCCTAAACCTTCAACCGTGTCTTAGAGGTATAAGGACTGTTGGGCGACTCCGTTCATGCTGCATGCATTTCCATAATCGAGGAGAACTGGAACTGTTCCCTTGCAAGCCGACGAAACCACCACGGTAACATTGCCACAGAGCAAATGTTAAACCTGGAGGCTGGGCTCGTCAGTCTTTGGGAGGGTTCCAGACTGCTTCAGAAAACAGTAAAACCAGGAAAAGAAAGGAGTTTCAAGAGTAGTTTCCAGAAGTCCCCCCCTGTATATCCGCAAGGATAGGTACTGAAGTCCTTTTTCCAGGAACCCCCAAAAGGGACCCCTGACTCTAGTTTTTAGACACAAAATGGTCTGTGTGGGTTCTCTACAAGTTGGAGCAGCCTTGGGTTCACTAGGCGGCGCGGGTCATCACCGCAGTCTTCAAAAACCGATGGCGCACGCTGCTTTCGGTGGACGACCTTATCGCAGATGTCATTTCCAAAGTGGAGGAACTGGCAGCTTAGGGTTTAGGATTTGGCGTTTAGGGTTTAGGTATAGTCACGCTTAAGTAGATAGAATATGGCTTGGGGTATATTATAACACAACCCCCATATACCCCATCTTCTATCCACTTAAGGGGGGCTATAGGGTTGGGGGGTTTAGGGCTTAGAGTTTGGGGGCTTATGGTTTTTTAGTTCTCATTGACGAGCTGAGGTTGCCAACATGCTGACCTAACTACTCAGGGGCAGTGGCCGCTTTTTTTTCCGAAGTTTCTGCGCTGACACCCAAAAATGCCCTCAACTTGTGCAGAACAGGATTTAAGAGAAGATGTCAGCTGCATGCTTGCAGTGGTCCAGTGATTAGCGCTGAACCTTAAACCCGTCTCCACCCATAACGAACCAAAACAGGGGCCAGGTCATACCGAAGCGCAGCATAGAGACTTTCGGGTTTGCGCTTGGGGGAGATCTGGACCGATAGGCCCTTTCATAGATTTTATGCTCCCCCTATAAGATCCCCATATACCTCATATTCTTTTTACTTAAGGGGGACTATATCTCGCTCTGGGTCATGTGAGCTGTCGCCAGATCTGGTTCAAGTGGTAAGAGAACACTGACTACCGTGTATCTGGCCAAGCCTGTATCAAAGAGATTTTGGGTATACTATACGTAGGGCTATACAGGGATAATGGAAATGAAGATAGATTCTACTATCTGGGGTTTATGTCTTAGCGCTCGGGGGCGATCTGGCCCAAGGGCCGTCCCATATCTTATTATCTCGATCCCGGTCATGTGAGCTGCGCCGGATCTGGCTGGGTATTTAAAAAAGAAACAGTGTAAGCTTTGCTTGAGGGGACTTTTTTTGGCGGAAGGGCTCTTCCAGAACGCCCTGGGTCACGTGTGCTGCCCACCAAGACTTGTACGACAACTTTGGAAGTGGGTCGGCAAGTTCAAGCTGAGTCGGCAAGACTCGTGAGGCGAGGCTATGAGCTCCGGCTAGAACATGCCGCTAAATTGCGTCCAGGCAAGGGTTTGCTTAGGGACGTTCCTCGCCGGACTCGAGTCATGCGTGCTGCCCGCTAGGAGGTCCTAGAAGGAGCACAGACGCTCCTGGAAGGGTCCTGGAAGGTTCTGAAAAGGCCCGTGGCAGGTGTTCTACAAGGATTCAGGGAAATGAAGGCTTCTGCAGGCCGCAGGCAACCTCACGCACCCTGGGAGGCCACCTTGCTGGGGTATGCATCTCCCCTAGCAGCACCTATCTAGTTCCCGGGAAAATTTCGACAGCGCACTCCTGCATTCCTTGCGACGTACCCGGGAAACATCAAAATGTCTTAGATCTACATCGTGTGTTTGTTTTTCTTCTGCTCTGCTAGTGAGGGTTGCTGTCTTGTGGCTCCACACGTTACCAAGAATCATTTCAGATCCGGATCGCACCAAAAAGGAGAAAGCATGGGCTGGATGTTTGTGAGCCAGGGTGTTCTTCTGTGAATGTCCGCGGTATACTTACTTTGTTGGGATCCCCAGAGTACTTGCGTGATCCTCTCACACCCCCCAATATGTCCTCAGAGTCCCCAAAGCACCCCCTGGTTTAAAAGAGTCTCCCAGTCAAAATACCAAGCGTAAGTCCCCAAGACTGAATCCCAAACCTTACACCCCCAAATCCGAAACCCTAAACCCAAGGCCCTCAAAGCAAATCCCTAAACCAAAGGAGTTGAAGCAGATGGACCGCACTTACTTCTTCTTTTCAAGTGACCATGGTTTTCAGCTCGGGCAGTTTAACATCCCCATGGATAAGCGACATGTGTACGAGTGGGACACAAAGAACCTCAGATGCACTCAAGTCAGGATTTGGGAAGCTATGTGCAGTTTCGAATCTTCAGGCTTGAATTTAAATTTGTATAGGTTTATCTTTGCCCTTTGCCTTTTCGAAGAAGTTCGTGTAAGAATGACATACTCACCAGTTCCTCCGGGAGATCCAGGAACCTCTTGCTGAACAAGAGGGTTTTCTCTGTCTGGGCCTGGTGATTAAAAAGGAAGGGCCAAGAAAATGGAAACTGCCATACTGCTTCAGGAATCCGGGTGTTAGGCTTGGGGTGGTTTGTAGGATGTGGGGGAACATGGGGGTGTGGCTTTAATGGATTAAAAATGAGGATCACATACAAGGTGCCAAAGGCTTCTGTCCTTATTCAGCAATAGGTAGAAGAACTCTAGAGGAGTGCCGAGTTTCAGTCTCCCTAGATAATATCCTCAGAAATTGGTGTATGACCTATATGTGCGTATTCGTGTATGTAAATAGTATATATATATATACATATATAAGGAGGGTTTACGGTTTATTTGTCCATCTCCGCATACCAAGGATTCATCTCTTGGTACGTGGTCCCGGGATTAAGCCAAGCTCTTCCTTCGCACAGCCTGGCACACAGGCCGCATATGGATTGTTGCCAAAATTAGGATCCCGTTTTTAGTTCCCCTAAATACTGGTTGCAATGATATAGTTTTGGCCCAAAAAGAAATCCATAATTTTGAGAATAACCTATGTTGTTTTGCGTTTAGGGGCGTAACTTAGGTTACGAATGATACATGCAAGACACAGGGTTGCCTTTCAGGGGCAACTTGATTTAAGCTTCTGAAGCTATTCCTGTGGAGCAACCCGTGTTTTTGGTTTCTCAATTTTAAGGCGTGTTTGGGGGAGGTGACCACAAAGTAGGTAAGAAGTGTATGAAGTAGTGGTGTAGGGCCACATACGGTACCGTAGTTTGAGAATGAATTTGAGAAGTACTCATATGGTTTTGGGTAGGATGAAGTGGCGTTCCTTAGGAACATTAGTGTGTTCACAAACCCACATCATTCCTGAAATAGGGAGTGGCTATGGAAATCAGTGGTTTTAGGAACCGAGTTGTGCGGTTGACGGCCCCCAACGTATAGCTTCAGAATGGATTGTCTCGAATTCAGGGTGTAGCAGTCAGATTTTTGTGGTTCAGCGCTTAGCGGCCGTGAGTGGACCTTGAACCATTGCAAGCTTTGTGGGCGGGCAAGCTGCGGAACAATTCTCCCCGGCCATATCTAGAATTTCCGGATACCCGTAATGATAGCCTTGATATCCTTTGTCTTGGGGTAAACGGCCATCCTTTTTTGTACTTGGGTGGTCTAGGTAGACCCTCAACCCTAAGCCCTTCCTTCAGGTGGACATCGCGCCTACACTGCTTGGCCTTGCTGGGTGAGGGAGTTCCAAATGCCAGTCTACTCTGTGGGACCTTGGGGTTACAGGGTTAGGTAAGCAAGTTATTCAGGCTTACAGTAGGGTTCTACAGGAGTTATAATCTATTATCCAACTCCAGGTCACTAAAGTTGGGCAGGCTTCCAGAGGCTAACCCTAAACCCAAGGTTTAGGGTTTAGGGTGGAACTGGTCTGATGGATCGGCAGAATCATGGTCCGATTCTTGGTCCCTAGTATCATACGGACCCGAATACTGTTTAGGCTGCCACAAACAAAGAGACCATCCTTTTGACGATTTGACAAGCTTCTAAATTTAGGGATAAAGGGAATGTTGCAGTTTGTGGCTTACATCAATACAAGGGAATCCCTAAACCTTGAGAATATTCCTAGTGGAGGATTGAGGTCCTGGAAGACTTCTGTTAAACAAAGGTCAAAACCACGTTTGAAAGGGCATATCAGGGGAAATATTTCATACATTAGGAGGTTGATACAGGAGTACTCAAATAAGTTTAGACTGCGTTCGATAGGAACTCCTGCTTTATGAGGCTACTGGGGCCGAGGAAGGTGAACCCCCGAATGATGAATGCTCGGGCGGGGTTTGGTCAGGGTGGAGGGGTGCTTTTTATCGGGGGAAAAGTTTTCTACAATTCAGTTATTTTTTCAAGCAACAAAAAAGACAAGAGGCCTACGCGGTGAAGGCTCAGGGTTTAGGGTACATCTTGACTTCCTTGCAAGGTTGCCCCCGTACACGTTTTTAAGCTGTTTCAGGCGAGGCCAAAACATGTGTTCAAGCTGCTCAAGCTTGAAGACCACGTCAGGTTGACAGCCCCGCATATCCCTAATCGCCCGAACTGCCCTGAAGTCTAACGTTCCAACCGCGTCAAGAAAATCTCCAGACTCGCCGCCGCTTCCCGTTCAACCGGCATGCCTGGCAGGCTGGATGCACCGCAGCATTATGACGGCAAGTCCATCGCACGCTTCCTCATCCACTCAGAGCTTGAGGTTGCTGGATCTTCAAATACTCTGTAATCCCTTCCCAGGGCCCTGGATTTGTTTTTGATTATTAGGGGGGTTTTATTAATAGGGGGAACGGATTACTCCTTAGGAATTTCTGAATTCCCCAAAACCCACTGTGGGGTTCTAATTCTTACTGTGCTGTCGCCCGCCATGTCATGGGTACTCTTCCGTCACGCAAACATTTTTGGACGCACGCTTGTTAGCTTCAAAACCGCGCTCTCGCTCGAGAGGTCCTCAAAAACTCGGCGTTCCATGTTGATTTTCGATCAAAAAAAATAGGAGACTGCGCCTTTAAAGTAGTCTTGCTAGAGGGAGTCGTATCCGAACTGGTCGCGCCCCTGCTTGAGGTGAAATTGCGCTCCCGTGCGAGACATCCTCAAAATTTTGAGTTTTTCTTGGTCAATGATTCATCAAAATTGCGCTCCCGCGCGAGACAATTCGATTTTTTGCGTTTGTGTCAGCTGCTGTACATGCGCTAAACCTGCATCCCTTTGTTCCTTTCTTCGCTTTCGTGTATGCAGGGGGACAGAGGGGGTGTGGGGGGGCTCCAAATAGGGGGTACCCCCGACTTTTGGGAAACCATAAACCTAATAAGAGTACCCCTAGTTTTGGGCAACCCCCTCATATAGCTCCCGATGGACTTTAGACCAGTACTTTTATGCAGCATGCAGCCAGTGCAGCTTCCAGGCCTGTAGGAAAGGCCTTGGCTTCGGCAATGGCTATACGATTACGGTTTAGGGTTTAGGGTTTAGGGGATTAATCATTTCCCCCTAATATTGAACCCCCTCACCCGCCCCCCACCCCATTACCAAATATGCCCAATGTAGCCAAGATATTATACCATACCACAATAGGGAGTATTTAATGTTAGGGGGTGGGGGGGTTTAATATTCGGGGGAAGGAACTATTGGACTCAGAATTCCGCTTCCACACAAGTAGCAGGAATCAATAAATATAATAATCGTTAGAATAATATCAAGAGTAATACGAGCAATAATGGTAATGATAAATCACAGCCTTTAAGTCTAGAGCCAGCTCTGTGGTCCATAACTTGAAGTAGCATTGCATCACTGCACCGCCGTGAGCCAGCCTGCCATTGGGCTACGTAGGAGGGAAATGGCGCCCCAAAGACATTCAAGACCTCCAATTGAAACACTGACCATGCCCAGCTGAACCCTTTGAACCATATCGTGTGCTTAGAAGATGGAAGCAGAGGCAGAGCTTCCAGAATCTGTTGCCTGGCACCTCCGGAGCCTCCCGGCATCTGCGGAAGCTGCCGCGGGCTGGAGACGGGAGTTGTTGCCTGGACGTCTTTCAGTTGTGGGGTTGCTCGTTTTGATGTAAACCAGACGCCTGCACGTGCTGAAGACACCAGACGTGAGGTTCATGGAGTACTATTACGTCGACTACAACACGAAGTGTGTAAAGAATTGCTCCAACGCCTCAGCGTACCCATCTGCTGATAGCAACTGTGGCGATCTGGCCAACAAGAAGGACTGCTGGTGTTCTAAAGAGCAGACCAAGCAGGAAGGCTGCTACTACACGGAAAGCCCAGCCAACAACTTCATTGCTCTCCGAGACTTCGAGGAAGGGCACCACCTCCTGTACTCGGAGTTCCAGACAGGCGAGCTACAAAAGGAGCTACTTCAGCACTCGACTCCTACTTGTGTGCCTAGTGGAAGAAGGATAGGAGAGCGCCTTGTGAAACCCCAGAAAGCCTTCTTGTTGTTCAAGTTTTCCCCTACGGCCATCATACAGCCCGAAAGTGCATCGTTTAGGGATGGACATGTTTGCAAAGTGCCCTGAACATCACAGAGTTCTGAAGAAACACAGGAACTAGGCAGAGATCGCGCTCTTCCAGTAAGAGACACAGAAACCGCGACTGCAGGTCCCCATTGCGCATTAGTGAATGCAAAGGAGGCTGGGCTTTGGGTAGTCGAAGCAGCTGGATACTGAGTAATGTTGGGAGCACGACTCCGCAAGGTTCCTCCTGACATGATCAAAAGTGTGTCCTTGCCCTCTTGCCAGAAGCTGAGACTTAGACCTCGTGTTGCATTCGGTGACAAACGGCACAGCAACAAAGCTGAAACTTTGAATCCCCAAAATCTCAGCATGAGAGGAGCCGATCGAGTTTGACAACGTGGACTTTGTAGAGCTTTACAACATCACCAGTGACCCCTGGCAGCTGCGGAACCTCGATTGACATGAGAAAGAGGTATGCAGACTCGTCAACTAAAAGCCCTCGAGCCCTAGCGCGGTTTCCCCATGCTCCATTTTGGGGCCCCTGTAACTGTCACATAAATCCGAGAGTAGATGCGGGACCCTAATCCCGAAAATATTGCCTTCTGTTCATGAAATCCCCAACGGCGCCCGCTCCTTAGACTCCCCTGCCCCACTTTCCGCAAAAGCGGAGAGCCCAGGGAGCACGTAGCGAGTGCTTGCCAAAGCATAAAATCATCCAGCAGCTTAGTAAGAGCGCACTAAGATTCAGGCAGGCACACCTACCTTTCTTATGAAAACATCATTATGTTGCGACACATGTTGAGGAACTTGATCAGCAAGACTGGGGAGGCTGCACAAGCGGCCATGCATCAACGGCTGCGTGACTGGTACAGGTGTCACGGAGCCAGCTGCCCTTGACGATGAAGCTGAGCACTGATAGCTTCGTCCTACACCATAGGGCCTTAGGGTTTGTGCTGTTGCCTTGTCTCAATACAAGCGAGGCAACTCCCACCCCAGTTCCTCATTTGGTTGCACTCCTCCCACCTACGTGACCATGGGCTGCGCATGCTTGAAAAGACACGACGCAGGCTTCAGGGTTGAATTAGTTGCATCCTCCGCGGCCTCCTACATCACAGCACGCCAATGCAGAGTTGTGGACTGGAACAAGGGGGCACAGATGTAATGTAGTAATATAGGGATATAATGGAAGAGAAAATGGAAACTACTATATTATAATAGGGTGTGTATTGGGGTTATTTTGGGGCCGCAAATTCCCTGTCTGAGAGCAGTGTATATGAATCATCGTCGACCGATCTCCTGGATTGGATTCGGCCATTATACGCTCTTCAGTACAGGGCTTGGCAATTTATCCCGGGATGGGAATTGCCGTGAACCGTGTTTCTCATGACAGCCCTTGGGCTTAGGTCTATTGCAATTGCACAAGGACTTGAAAACCAAACATTCATTGCAGAAATCTTGGTAATGTGACCTGAACATTCGAGTTTTGGCCAACTGCCCGCACTTTCGGAGTTCATATTACAAACGCTGCAGCTCCAGACCCGTGATCCCAGTCAAACTCCGTGGTTCTTGTTTAAACGCTGATCGCACAGCACCCGGGTCAAGCTTTCGGTATGAGGGCCGGCGACTCATACCCTACAAGTGAAAGGATTTAGCAGACAACGATCGGTGGTCACGAAGGGCGTGCATACCACTTCCAGTTCGCCCTGAGCTCTATTCCTAAGGGCAGCCGGGACGGTGAATCTGTTGCATGTCACCTGGACGACCATCCCCATGTCATCGCTTGATACTGCTTCAGACCCGGGATAAGTCTCGACAATACAAATCCGCATGTTTACCCCACCCTCCGCCCACAGCGCACCCTGCAGCACCTGTAAGAAAAGCCCTGCTGTCAGGAGATCCGTAACAAGGCACAGGGCATCGCCGAGGCAGACGAATTCCGTTTGAGCGCCAGCTCCTCAAGGCTTATGCTTTTGAGTTCTTAGGGTTTGGGAGCAGAATGAGCCCCTCTTCAGACATGGCTTTGGAAAAGGATGTTCTGACGGGCTCCCTTCAACAAATGAGACTAACAAATTTTGATTGTGGATTTGGACAAGAGGGCCAGGGAAGATGGGAGATTTAGACTTGGCTACGGGGGGGTGCTCTCCAGGCTTTTTGATGCGGATGCGGCCTACCAGGCTTGATGTTTAGGGTTTAGGGTTTAGAGTCTAAGTAAGCACCTCTGGGAATTTCCGAGGTCTTAGGTTGGAAGTATGGGTACGGACTATGCAGCTATACCCGTTTCACAAGCCGGGCTTAGGGTTTAGGGCAAATTTCGGGTATGCGCATGGCATATCAGGTCACATCAGTTCCATTGGGACTACATTCGCGACCCATAGTGTTGATCCTCGACCGAAGTTGCGATGATACCGCTCCCCAAAAATGGGGTGTGTACTAGGGTTCCTATTTACAGTACGGTGCAATCATGTGGGCACAGGAGTTTGATTATGGCTTCTGAGCTTTGTTCAGCCCTTTGCCGCCGTGACTGTATGCAGCTGGACGTCAATCAATTGGCCGCTTGCTGGGTCCTAACTGACGGTTCTGGGAAGTTTGACTGAGGCCGAAAGTAGTATGACCACACCTATCAACGGCGTGAAGCCGCAGAGCCTGTACCGGCCCCTGTGGGATTACATTGGCTCAAAAAGGGTTATATGAAGGTCGTATGAGGGAAGCCTTTTCAAGGTACGACCTTACAGTGCAAGCAATGTTCCCTGAAATCCGCTCCGGTGACCACAGAAGACCCCTTTTCTTGAGCGGCATATGACTGCTCCAACTTTCACTGCAGAATGTATAGTTCCGAGAAACAAGACCAGAACGCAAACACTTCAAGATCCGAAATGTTGAAGTAACATTGGACAGAGAGGCCCGTCTAGACGTTGACAAACTCCGAACCTTGGGTCCTGAGTTTTTGTAGTAGCTTGTAGAATCCTTGCCGCATCTATAGCTCCCCTTAAGTAGATAAGATATGGGTAATTATATTGGGATCTTGATATAATATACCCAAAGCCGTATTCGATCTACTGATGGGGGACTATAGGCTTTCTATGTTTTAGGGGCATCCGTGGCGTACCCAGTCTCAGACAAGCGCGAGATTCTGGCAGGGAGCGACCACCCATCGTGCTGAAACGCCCTTGCGCTTTTCCTGCTCAGCGGTCAACCGTGGACCCGCGGCCACACTCACGGGCTGGTGCCTACAATAAGTAAGGGGTATCGTTTAGGTGGACCCCACACCCAGTAATAGTGACTATAAGGGATAATAAGGATTATATTAGGGTCCTCTTACACTTCTATTATACCATTATTGCAGGGTGCAGCGTCCTGCGGTCTCTATCTCTGGGCCCTTCATTTATGACAAGTGCTGATTTTTCCTGGCTTAGGAGCAGTCAGGTATAGGCTTGTTAGGCACAATAAGCATTTGTTCTTGCGTGTTGGGGTGTGTGGTTCGTCTGTGTGAGGCTTGCTACTTCATGCAAGCAGGGGATCACTCCCAACGTGACAATGGTTTTAGCGATGAGGATACATGCACGGGGGCAGCGGCCTTCAAGCAAACGCTGCGTAACAGAGCTAACTATGCTTGAAGGTGGAAGCACGGTCTGATCAGCCGTGTGTACCTGCAGCAGGTCAGGCCCCTGATCTGACCAGATGAGAAAGGCCCAGGCCCCTGAGCTGGCAAGATGGAAGCAAACAGGTTGCTGCCAGCAACACCTTAGAGCTATCAGCGCTTGAGTGACGTGCAGCCTTGTCATGCGAGTTCACAGCTGAGGTGCGCAATCAGGGGATGTGGTAGAATGTTCAGAAGCGTCCCAAGTTTCCACAAGCATCCAAACAGTTTTTATTTTGAAAACCTAGAAATCTTGGAGTGGAGATTTCAACATGCTCCTTCGTCAGACTAATACGCACAAGTGTATCTATAGCGGCTCTGGCCCTACGCGAGGTACCCGGCGAACTGGTTTGAAGTTTGGGTACTTATTGGACTTCCTAGTGCTTGCACATCAGCCTTCCGTTCGGTGTATTCGTGATTGCGGCTTGCAGGTAGCGTTTGCAGATCAGTCGGCGTATGCAAGGGGAATGCATAGGGATGAGCATGAGGGCATGTGCACAGGAGCACGCATGGCTTCCATTGTTCTACTCTCATTACAGCTCCTACTCGGCGCATGTGAGCGTCAGCTAGGACAAAGGGCATTCTGAAGTTCAGCTTCTTCTGAGACATGTCCACTACGAGAATCAATTGGTCCAGTTGTTCCCATTGCGCCATTCCTTAAACCATTTTTTCAGGTCTATTGGGGCCATTGGGACCACTGGGACCGTCGAAGGGATCGATGCCCTTTGCTCCGGGGGTCGCGCTGATGCTGGTGGTGTCGGGGTGGCGTGGGCAGGGCTGGGGCAGCGGTGTGGGGCGCTACTTCTGCCTTTGCTTGCCACTTCTTCCTTCCAGACCCTTGTCATTTGCCATCTGTCAACCAGGACATGGCGCAGCCCAGCGGGGGATCCAGTTGCCAAGCCAGCCCTGCGCTGCTAAGCTGCGGGTCCTGCAGCCAGACGGAAACCTGGCAATTCTGATGGACAAGTAGCTTCAGATTGCAGATGTGTGGGAGTCTTGTGCTTGGGCTCCATCCTGCTATCACGCATAAGGGCTGTTGGTTTGTCGAGAACGTCCTTCTTCATGTCAACCATGTAGACCCGACACATGCGTGGTCAAACTTCGTGGTGGCTGTTGGCGAGTGAATGAACGAGAAGCTTGATGAAGGAACTTCTGCAGAGATCATTTCCTCCGGGCCTTCTGAGCCACCAGTAACTTAAGCGGATCGGGGGTCCAAGCTTCAATGGCGAACAAATTTCCGCGTGGTAGATTTTTCAGCACTGAAAGATTTGTGTGGTGAAGACAGAAGAGGAATATTCACAAGGGGGCTTTGGCAACCCCAACCCCAAAAATTAGGACCCTGGACATATCATACGAATCATATAGAGTCCATATTCTGGGGTCGGGTAAGTAAGGTCCCCTGACGAAATATGGTTCCAGTGGAGGGATACATGGTCAGGCGTGACAACCCTAGGATTCAGAAACCGAAACACGGTAGTTGCATTTACGGTTTGGGCTTTTTGGTTGGGGGATCGCTAGGACCAGCATTCAAAGGCCGCAGACTCCTAAGTCCGAAGCACGGGCAAGAATTGCATCATAATGGACGAAACTTTCCCAAAGTTTGCATAGTGCTTAGCAGGGGAATGCAGGAATGGGTTCCCATAATAGTCCTTACATACATTCCTTACACTGATCCTCCCCTCTAGTCCGCCCTTTCATGGCCTACAATCTTCAACCTTAGAAAAATGCTCCCATTTCTTTTCCATACCCTAAACCTAAACAGTTTCGTCTGGGGCTGAGGCGAGACAGTTGGGATCCTTCGAGCTGCCGGCTGCGCCCAGCCCCGGAGTGGCTTCTTGGTTGTTAACCGACTATGATGGGTTCTCTGTGAATGGGTTTCATAGAGCGTCTTAGGATTACATCATATGGTTTTACAATAATTGGTAGGGTTCTCTTGAGTAACATTGTAGCTTAATTTAAATTCTTCAAGAGCAACCCAGGCTTATGTGGAGGGCAGCAGCCACGTCCCGCGCCCGATGCAGGTGCCAGGAATGCTGTTAGGTTTCAAGCCATCTACAATGGATAATGGGTCACAGTGATGCGAGACGCATGGAATGAAGGTTCGCCAAAATAATCCGAAAGCAATATTCACTGGGGACCCTTACTATCCAGTCGTCATCCCTATACACAAATTCCTCAGGGTCTTCATGGGCCTGCTGTTCTAAGAAACCCCAAATGGCCCGAAATGAAGATAAATTTCCGTAGGCCTGTAGTAACTCTGGCTTATGCAGAGGAATCAGCGCGACAGTGGCGAATTGACCGAGTGCCAGCGGCCTCTACTGCAGCGGCTGCTGCAGCAGCCGTGCCAGGCAATCCCTTGAAACGGCAGGCTTGTGGCGGAAGCATGGGGCGGAAGACTTCAAGGTTGAGACTCTGGGGCCTTTGCCAGCGTTGCTCGTGCTAATAGCTGCATTCAAGAATCCAGAGCCAGAAATCGTTATATGGAGAGTGAAATAATTGGTGTTGCCACCGGTCTCGTTACATTGTGGTGAATGGCATCGCCAACACTATGTGTGCTTTTTTCATCATAGCAGCCGCACAGATATGTGCAGTCGTTTTGCCTGACCCTCTTCTGGAAACCCCGCTATCAGCACGATGACTGAAGCGCAGGTCATACCTCGACACAGCGATTTGGAGCTGCAGTTGCTGCGGCGGATCAGTGACTCCGTGAACAAGAATTCGAGTTTGGACGCCTGCTTCAAGCGCCGTTGCATGGGTGTGTAGAGTTAAATGTCGGCAGCCCGCAAGTAAGTCACATGGACGTGAAGAGGCGTAGGGCTCAGTGTTGGGGTTTGGATGTTCTGGTGTTTCTTGGTGGCATGTCTGTAAGAGTACTCGTACCATAACTTGAAAGAAAACAGTAGCCAGTCTCTTGACAGGACACCCACCCTGATCCTATATCTTTGCTCTATGCTGCGCTGCAAACGCACATGCGTCCCAACGACAAAGAGGAGCAACCTCTGCGGTTCAAGGATTCACCATGCCTGGAGGGCTGCTGGGCTGACATGGAGGCTCACTATTGGAATCTGAAAAACAGAAAGGATGGAAACAAAATGGAATCCGGTCTTGTAAAGGGGGGGTCTTATAGGGGTTTCGTACGTTGATGTAAAAATTCATGGGACGGCTGTAAAACCATCTCCTCAACGCCAGACAGACTTGGAAATTTCCATACATGGGGGGATTCAATACAGATCCCGTTATATTAAGAACTTTATCATGGGACGCACAAAACAAATGGTACGCAAACTTTGAACCCTAGACCCCCACAAGCGATTTTTTTTGGTAATCCTTCAATTCAATTTCTGCAAACCAGCCCAGGCTTTACCTCTGCCGCCACGCTTTGTGGTATGAAGGTTGAAGGATCACCACGAGCCAACAAAAAGGCTGCCAAGCACGCTGCTGCCATGAAAATGATCAAGGCTTTGTCCGGCTTGGCACGTGAAAGGAAGAAGGGCATCTCATTGGATGAGCTGGACTAAATCATCCCAGTTGCGGAAGCGTGCAGCAGGAAAGCTCATACCGGCACAGACCCCGCCTGTCCTTGTGGACAGGCACACCAGCGTTTGCCAATCAAGTTCCATGTTAGTTCTGCAGCGGTCTCATTCCGGAGCAAGTTGGCATGTCACAAAAGCTCGACGGCATCGGAAGCCGCACTCTCGCGGATGTTATTTAGATGCTGCGCCCGCAGCTTGCATCGAACGTCCTGTTCATGATGGCCATGTGCTGCTTGCTAGGTCATGAAAGCCTCCGCTTCTCAGTGCTTGAGGTCTGCAGCTCTACGGTGCATTTTGACTTGCCGTCCGGAGATGCATATTCCTTCGCATTGCGCCTCGTCCATTAGAGTCATTAGAGACTCAAAAACGGCAGTGCCCACAAAGAGATGCGAAGCTGAGAGAAAACGTGGGTCAGTGCTAAGTGCGAGGAATGCCCAGGCACATCCTGCGTGCTGGACAACTTCTTGCAGTGTCATATCGCTAGTATTCCAACTGCTAGGACCGTCGCATTTATCATATTATTGATTACGGAAGATCATTCGACATCAATTTTATTAATCCTTTGATAAATCAACACGCATGTATACCCGGGCTGCCACCTAATTTGATGACCTTTCTTGGGAGATGATGATTATATTTGATTGCCTGCGGGACTTAAGATTCATGCAAGCTACAAATATTGCCAAGATAAATTTAGAATATGATTTCCTCATAATCAAAAAAATCGAAAATCAATTTTACGCTTCAAAAAATCCTAACCCCTTTTGTAAAAAACGACCTTAAATTGAATCCTTTTCACGGGTCCCAAGATTATGAGATTTCAACTAGATTTGAAGGCATTATAGGGAAATTGGATTCTTTTGATAATTTCGTCCGATCAAAAGAGATGACAATATCAATCGAGAATCAGAATTTTGAAATATCATTGAAGATATCTTCATATGATGATATCAATTATATATTAGATATCTAAATATAGATTCAATAATTGAAGATGAATGATTTTTTTTTTTTTTTTTNNTGACATAGGATTTAGTTCATTATGATTTCATATTACGAATAGACTAATTTCTTCATTTATAAATATATCTGCAGGATTTTCATTTTTATATAAATAGAATTGAAGAAATATCTAGGAATTATTTTCGCTATTTTAATTGAATGCTTGCAATTCTTGATTGATTGATAATAGATTCGTTGAATTTTTTGCTAAATAAATAATATTCGAATGATTGAAATTATCGTATAGAGATTAGGAGTATCTCATTTTTGATAATATATTTTAATATTACGAGGCGGCTATTTATAGTCATTTCGCTCGGCAGCGATTTAATTTCTCCGTGGCTAAAAATCTCCTAAGATTTTGAGCTATATCTTTCTCTTTGGTTATTGCGCGGCGGTTCGGTGGAAAGTCAAGATCGGGGCGGCGGTCTTAAAATATTGATAATTCATCGTGGTTCACGTGCGATTTTGAATATTGCTTGGCCGCCGCATTTCTCGTTAAGCTCTAATAAATATCTTCCGCTGTTATAGGCAACGGACTATTTCTAGCATGATAATACGAATATCATAATATATATATATGAAATTCGAAAATTATTAGATATAAGATTTTAAATTTCTTTTCAGATAATAAATTCGAAAATTCTGATATTATTTAGAGAAATCAATGATATGATAAATATAATAAGAAATATTAAGATATATTTATAATGCTTTATTTTATTAATAAATATAATTACGTGAGCGCTAACTAAAACCGCCTATATGGAATTTTAGATATATATGAAAATAATATTTGGTCGTATTGGCTATTATAGATAGGGGGATATTTCGCATCAATAGAATTATGAATATTCTTCTGAAAATTTTCGCGACGATAATTATTCATTCGAATTATATTGGCATGAGGCTCTATTGGCACTTGATTTTGGAGGATCATCTTATATATATATATGAAATCTATTTGAATATAAATTTTGTCAAGCTGCCTTGGAAAAATATATAATTAATTATAAGACAATCTATTCCGATATTAGGATTTTGATTCTGCGCCTTGGAAATATTGATTACGAATCATATTTTTTTCAATAATATGAAAAATAATTTAGAATTTTCTTATCAATAAATATCGTTATCAATGAAAACGATTATAAATAAAATTTCGATAGAGAAATCTGATAGGATATATTTTCCGTATTATCTAAGAAATCTTGAAAAGAATATTCGATAATTAGCGCGCAAGAATCTCGTCTTCCTATCTATGAATCTATAATATCTCCAAATCATTTGAAGAATGAATATATTCAAATATATTATATAGATATTGGAATTATATATGAAAAAGATATTTGCTCTTTTGATAATTATCATTTGAATTTTTCTTATTTGGAAATTATATTTCATTTTCCTAAATATTTCAGAAAGAAAATTATCTAATATATATAATGATATTTTCATATCCGAAGATTCAAAAATATTAATCGTTTCTCCCTAATAATAAACGACTTCCCCACCGCCCCCCATAATGATAAAGAATCCGAAGGGTCAAAAATTAATCATTATTAGGGTGATATATTTATTGAAAGGCTTTGGTAGGGTCGCTTTTGCATTCCTTTTAAAATCAATTAGATTAAAATCGAATTAAAATCTCGTTAGAATCAATTGAAAATTAATTAGAATTCCTTTTAAAATCAATTAAAATCGAATCAAAAGCCCATTGGAATCAATTGAAATCTAAATAGAATTCCTTTTAAAATCAATTGAAATCGAATCAAAATCCCGTTAGAATCAATTGAAATTTAAATAGAATTCCTTGTAAAATCAATTGAAATCGAATCAAAATCCCATTGAAATCAATTGAAATTCAATTAGAATTCCTTTTAAAATCAATTGAAAACAAATGAAATTCGATTGAGATCTAGCTAAATATAGCTAAAATTATAATCAAATCATTTATAGTCGCATTCAATTCTTATATAAAATCCTATATAAAATTCATATGAAAATCAACCAAAACCTAGGATGTCAAGGGGATCCCTAATTCCTTTGTATTTTCTCTTATACCCCCCTAACGACTTCAAACCCCCCCTAATTCATTATGGTCTAGCTCCTTTTAAAATTGGACCAGCCCCTATTAAAATGATCATGAGGAATTTTTAGGGTCCTGGATTTTCCTATTTATTATTAGGGGGGTTGTATTAATATGAGGAAGGGATTAATCAGGCGGGAATACGATAATATTCGCGAATCATATCATTAATTTCTCGTTTCAAATTCTTCGCCTATATTTGATTCAAAAATCAGAAAATTCGCATGGCAAAAATAAGCGATAATATTTCGTATATTGCCATTTCGGAGGGCGTAGACGAGCGCCCTAGGGCATATATATTAAAATCCGTCGCCGCCCGCCGAACGTTCAGGGACCCAGCATCCTATAGAAAGAACCGACAATGTCGACAATATATAAGACAGAATTCAATGAAACTTCAGTCCTTGAGATATGCGCGCATCTCGCTTTCATCTATGGGATCCGGCCTGCGCGGGGGGACCGGCCTGACATTTAGCAATCATTGGATATAAATATCATCCGTAAAATCAAAGGCATCAATCTTTTCATATTATTCTTATTTTTTTGATTTATAATACAGGATAGAATTTCGAAATAATATGGAATGATAAAAAATTGAAATTTAAGATTTTCAAATATATATTCTATGAATTTGAAAGATATTTTGAAATATATGAATCAATATTCAATGATTTATTCTGATTATATTTATTTAGAAGATAAAGAAATAAATATTTCTTCTTGAAAAACTAATAAATATATATATATATATATAAATGTGTCAATTTTGAAAATAATTTGGAATACAAGTGAAATGAATGATATATATCAATCATTTTTCGTTTTATTTATTCGTTTAATTATTCAATATCTCAAAAAAGAACGAAAATATCAATCCTCAATGAAAAAAGAAAAACGATTTATTTGGAAATTCTTGCCCAAGAAGATATCATGAAATTGGATTTTTTCTTAATGATGAAAAAAATCAATATGATTATGTGCAAGGCAGCGCGTTTTGATTTCGGAAAGAAAATTCTGCATGACTTTTATATATCAATAAATTTCTTAAAAGAAAAAAAAAGAATAGGATATACCGTTCAATGATAGAAAAAATTAATGATAATGCGATTATTTCTGATTATCTTCTTCTTTATCATTTAAATCATAAAATATTAGCAAAAAATAATTTTGAATTCCGCAAAGATAATCTGCCATGAAATATGGATCGGAATAACGCTTAAAATAAAAATATATATATATATTTTGAGCAAATATTTGAGTCAATATCGGGCGCGGAATCATTTTCCGATTTTCCTAGATTTCCTTTCATTTAGAGATGAATTTCTCGGGAGATTCTAGGGACTCAGAAAACGACGTTTTGTAGTCTTAGAAATAATTGAAAACGGAGCCATTTCCGGTTTTCCTAGATTTCCTCTTGGGAATGAATTTCTCGGGAGATCCTACGAGCTCAGAAAATGGCAATTTTATACGATAGCTTGTTTCTCGTTGCAAATACGGTATCATGCACCGCCTTATTATATCTCTCGTATGCCACGCCGATATGAATTGCGATGACCATATAGAGAATGATAGCTTCACGCACATATATACATATATACATATATACATTCATTTATATACACATACCTACATACGTAGATACATACACAAACACAGATACACACACATACATACATACATACATACATACATAAATACATACATACATCCATACATGCATGCATGCATGCATGCATGCATACATACATACATACATGCATACATGCATACATGCATACATGCACACATACAGACACAGACATGCATATATATATATATATCTATTTGTATGTACAT